CCACAGTAAAAAAAATGACAATAAAGGTTATATAATCTAATCTAATCTAAAAATATTGGGCTCTGAATTCACTCCCATAGATTTCTGAAAAGAGTTTGGAAAAGGAGTCCAAAACCTCCAGTGATGGAGCACCCACAACCCCAGGAGACAAGTTGTTCTACTGATCAATTATTCTCACTGTCAGAAAATTTCTCCTTCTAGGTTGGATTTTTCTTTAACAAGAAAAAGGCTTCTGTTTCTAGAAAATGACCTCTATCCAGATGATGGTTTTAAAGACAATTGATTTGGTATATTCCAAAGTGTTTTCAAAATATTTGAAATGGTGACTCTATTCTCTTTTAACAAGATCTTGATATTAGGTGACATGGTTTGCTCAGACTTGATGTGTGTTAGCTTCTCTGTAGTTTGAAGACAGTTTTGTACACTTATAATTTATAACTATTAGAGATTTGGGATAAAATAGGTCTTGCTTTGGTTGCGAATAATTATACTGAAAATTGAACAAGGATAATAATATTTGAGTAACAATATTCTGCATAAGTTAAATATCATATCCATTTGATTATTGTTCATGAAAATATGAAAAGAGGAATAAAAGTCTTAATCAAGTTAAGCAGGGGGAGGAATTTGGTAGAAGTTCAAGATTTTGTTTTTCGTGAAGGGTTCCAGCCTGGCTTAACTAATATCTTTGCAAATATGCTGAAGTTAGTTGCTGTTTACAGCTTACTTTTGTACTTGTAACAATAGGACTGGACAGAGTGTCTCTTGAAAACATTTTTTTTCCTCCCAGTTGTGAAATGAACTTTTCAAATTAATGCTGCATTTCTGAGAAATGTTTCTCCTTTGCATTTTGTTTTTCCAAAAACTTTTTTTCATTCAGACAAGGATGTAGTTTTATTGTAAAACTGTGAATCTTTAGAACTAGCATAATATAATTTTGCTTTTTAGGGAAATGTTATTTTCTTCAATTATTTTTCTAATATTACAGTTTGAACATGTTTTCTAAAAAGAGATAAATAATCAAACTCCTGTGTTATAATCCAGTTGGTTTTGAATGTTTGCTTCGGAGCTTCTTCTAATTCATTTGAGTTAGTATGCAGAGTTGCTTTTTAATAGTTTGGTAAGTATCAAGTCACTGCCTGGAGCTTTCCCATTTTTAACAAATTAATTAGTTTAATAATTTCCAAATGAGAGAGTGAAGGAGTATCAACACTTTTGGCTATATCTTTATATCACAGACTAGGACATGATAGCATAGCAATGAAGAGCTTGGAAACAATGTTCAGATTGTGTATGTCCATAATTGCAAAGATCAGAATAGCACAAGCACTAGTTTCCTTGTGATACTTTATGGAAGCAAAAGTTGGACTTTGAAGAAGCGAGATAGAGTATTGGAGCTTTTGAACCTGGATGTTAGAGAATTCTCCTGAGGATACCATAGATAGCCAAGAAACAAATATATCATAGACCATATCAATCCAAAGTTCTCACTCAGGGTATAAAGTATCTGGCTCAGTTTGCTACATTTTGGACACATCATGCAAATATCAGGTTTTCTTGAGCAGTTTCTAATGTTGGGACAGATGGATGCAAAAAGAAAACGAGGATGACCATCAGTAAGGTGGATGGGCTCAATTGTAAGATCTGAAGCACCAGGTTAAGGACAGATCATCCTGGGGAAAAATATTGCTAAATGTTAATACCAACTTGATATAATATAATTGATAGAAGGTAAGAGAACTGGAGTAAGGGGAACATAGAGGCGTATAGCTGATAAATTATTAGTTGCAAATGTGTGCTTACTAGGTGGACTCTGATGCCAGAGAGATGTTCTCAAAATATATATTTTAATGATATCCTTTATGTACTTTAATTAATAGCCATAAAATGCAAGGTAAAATATGTTAACATACTATAAATACAAATCAATTAAAAAGATATTGATAAAATAAGAAATCAACAGCAGCTACAGAAGTTTTTAAGAAGAGACTGGACAACCATTTGTCAAATGGTATGGGGTTTCCTGCTTGAGCAGGGGGTTGGACTAGAAGACCTCCAAGGTCCCTTCCAACTATTATTATTGTTATTGTTATTGTTATTGTTGATGATTAAAATGTATTTCAGCATACTAATATCAGTTTAAAGATCAAAAGTTCATCTTAATATGAATTTAGGAGGCTGCCTTTACAAAATGATGTAAAATGAAGCTAGTCTAGCTTCTGTTGACAAGAAGGGCTTCCAGAGCTTGAAAGCAATAAATGATAAGACCTTCTCAACTGTTTCCAGATACAGCATAAATGATTTTACATCTATTACACCTACATATTAAAAGCGTTCATGAGATTTTAGTTAAGAAGCTACATATTGTAACCTTTAGTTTAGCAAACTGTCTCCTAAACCAGTCAGTTCCTCTTCAGTGTGGATATAGAACAGTGGTTCTCAACCTGTGGATCGGGACCCCATTTGGGGTCGATCGACCATTTCATGGGGGTCGCCAAGCAAGGCTGTCCGCCATTTTTTTTGTCCGCCATTTTTTCCCCCTTTTCCAGCGGGTGCCTTACCTCCCTTGGGCTGGGCCAGCTGGTGGTCGGCCTGCTCCGTCTCTGCCGCTTGCCAGCTACGCCTCGGCCGGCGCAGGGGGCGGAACCACGCATGTGCGGCGCTCCCGGGCAAGGAAAGTCCTCGACTTACGACCGGTTGGGTAGTCCTCGACTTACGACCAGTTTAGTCCTCGACTTACGACCGGCTTAGTCCTCGACTTACGGCCGGTTTAGTCCTCAACTTACGGCCGGTTTAGTCCTCGACTTATGACCGGTTTAGTCCTTGACTTACGACCGGTTGGGGTCGCGGCATTAAAAAGGTTGAGAACCACTGATATAGAACATACCCACCCATAACAGAGTTCTGCAAAGTTTTTCAAAAAAGCTATTTGCAATCATGTTGAGACAAACAAATTATCCCTTCTCAGAATATTGAACAGAAGGAAGATGTCTGTGGGAAGGAGTACTTTTTACCTGTATCGGCTGCTTTGTGAGTTGCTATTTGAGTTTATTGAAACTGGATTTGTGAGTCTGCCCATTCTTGCCACCACTTTACTTGCTCCCCAAATACCACCACTGCCATCACTCAGTGCTCTGCTTTCTTTCCCCTTGGTGACAGCATACATTTTATACTTATCAACTTTCAACTTTCAGCCCATCAAGAGGGTTGGGTTGGATTGCTATCAGAACAAATCTGACGAATGGAAAACATTAAAAGAGAAGCTTGATTGAACTGCCACTATCTTGGTGTGTTCAATAAGATTAGGGAACTGTTCATTCCTCTGGTGTTTCTACTACTACAGTTCCTCATGGTGTTTCCTTGTTACTTTCAAATCCTTTACCCCCTCTTTAAAACCATCCTGAAGCCATCATATTAGTTGGATTCAAGCCCTCCTATACTTCTCACCAATAAGTACGGTGGCTAGCAGTTCTGACGTTTGAAGTCCACTCTTTCTGGTGTGGGGAAAGCTGGTGTGGGTACTGACCTTTAGACCCTGAATGTTTTGAGACTAGCTTATCAGAAGGATTGCCTGCATCCATTAGAGTCAGCCTTGGCTTTATAATTAATACATGAGGTCCTGCCCTTTGACCCATTGATAACGGGAGATTTGCAAGGCTTTTTTGTAGTCATAGACTGCCTTCTCCACTCAAAATTAAAGAGCTGTTACTTTGAAATTTTCAGATATACATTTACCTATTTATTTCACAGTACTTCTTACTAATTGCTCTGATAAATTTTTTATTGTAATCTTTTTAAGGTGTGTATAATATGGCATTAAATTGATGGTATCTATTATGTTTTATGATTAATTGAAATACTGTGCATTTTCTTAAGAGGAAAGCATAATCATTCCTTGAAATATTGTTTATTCATTTATTAGGCAGCAGCCTTATAAACTATTTGCCTGGGAATAGGTTCCTTTAAATTCAGTAGAATGTATTCCTGAGTAGTCATCAATCATATTGCATAAATTCTAAATTCCACCAGTGGCAGATCCAGTGGCAATAAATCAGAGGTCATGGTTTAGAGGTTTGTTTTCAATTACAAGAGAGGAAAATTTGTATCATGCTAGTTAAGGTGTCCTAGTTAAATATTAAATAGTATGGTATCCATTTTATCAAAATGTTTAAGCCATTTCAATATATATCAGATTTGTTTTTCCTCTGTGAAGAAGTTTTACACCCTTATTGCAAAAATTATATAAACTTAGCTTGACCACATCTTGTTTCCTGCTGTATGAGATGTTTGCAATAGTAACTTGATCAGATTTGTGTAGTTTTTAAATTTCCCCCAGAAAATAAATTGTAAAATACATCCTAAATAGCTTAACCATAGCTTTGAAATGGAGATATAAATATATATAAAATATCTCTGTGTTGTATTATGCATTGATACAGTAATAGAAATGGAAATAACCCAGTTTAATAAATGCTTAAATGATAATGGCTTTGTGAATTTAAGTAACAAGATATGGTACTGTTCTAATTGCTTATTGAGTCTGCTATAATTTATGATTGTATAATTATGACAATAGAAAAACCCTTGAATAATTTGCAGGATAAAAAGAAAAGGAATACAATGCTCACCCACTAGAGTGGTTATCTCGGTTATAAATTGCAATTTGTTCCTCTATTGACAAATATTCTGATCTCTATTATTAAAACAAATAAAGGAGAAAATTTTCCCACAACAATTATTGTATTGCCAACTCCTTGATTTTTAATAGGTACTGTTAAATAATTGTAATAAAAAAACTAAAAGAAATACCCATTAACATTTCAAGGGATTTCTTTTCTTCAAGGAATCTTGATGATTTAATTTTTGTCAATGTTGTTGATTCCAAGAAATGGCTTGCCTCCAGACAAAAGATTACATAGATATTAATTGAGAAAACTAAGATTAATATCAGAATGGATTTTAATAAACTTTTTATAAACTATTTTTTTCTATCTCCCCAGTCACAGATGAAGATACTGTAAAGAGATATTTTGCCAAGTTTGAAGAAAAGTTTTTCCAAACTTGTGAGAAGGAGCTTGCCAAAATCAACACTTTTTATTCAGGTAAGACATATTTTGGTCTATCAGATTCCTAAGAGGCAATTGCCATATTGAGGCAATTGCCGTATCAAGGCTATGTACCATGTTCTGCAGGAGTTCATCTTATCTTACCCTGTTTAAGAAGCTTTTACTTTTACTCTGCCAGGAACAAGTCAAGAATATATAGCTTTGGTCAGTAGAAGAAACTAAGCTCACAATCCTAACTTATTTAACCAAAGCATATTTTAAATTAGCTAGAATTTTCCTAAAGTGGAATATTATGATGTATTTAGTATAAAACTAAATTTCTGATTAGCTTTCAGCCATCCTAAAAGGAGAATAAGGAATGGCTGAACCTCAAGGAATATGTTTCTTATCCTAAATAATTATTTTTGTTATATTTTAAAAAAGATATATTGCAGAAATGTCAAACTCAAAGATTGCGGACTGGATCCGGGCCCGTGATGGGCCCAGATCCAGCCCACGGGGCCGCCCCAGAAACAGCAAGGGACCAGTCCCACCGCCCTGGCCCTGGCCTAGTCCGGCTCAGCCGGGCGCAGCCCCAGGCGTATGCACAGGACATGGCAAGTGCAAGAGGGCTGGCAATGCCTGGCAGCAGCCGCAGCCTGCCAATGCCTGGCAGCAGCCGCAGCCGGTGCACCCTGGGGTCCCGTAGCCCTCACAGTGCAGGTGGGTCCAAGCGCTGCGGGAAGTACAGGCATGCAAAGAGGGACGGTGGGGCCACCCAGCTGGTCACTATTACTGCCACGCTGCGACCCCTGCCCGCTCATCCCTCGCCGTCCAATTTTGTCCTCCACCTCTGCCACACACACAGGACGAGCCTCCCACCACACCCCTGACAGTTTTGGCAAATGGGAAGGGTGGGAAGCTCTGCTTGAGCCTAGCCCCAGAGCTGTCCCACATGCAGCCGGGTGCCCCCCAGGAAGCGGTGCTGGACCGGGTCATGGAGTCCCGGCACCCCAGGAGCTTGAGGACCAGGCCTGGCACCCGTGCCCCACCGCACATGGCCCCAAATAGCCCACACCGCTGTCTGGGGTCCCCTCACCTGGCCCCAGAGGGACAGCAAGGCTCCTCTGGTGGACCAGGCCCCAGCTCCTGCCCCCTAGACCAGAGACCCACAGATCCTCCCACATAGGCCCCCCAATGCAAGCGACATTGAGCGGGCCACACCCACCCGGCCCCCCGAGGGCAACCACAATGCTGATGTAGCCAATGAAATCAAGTTTGACACCCTTGTTATATTGTGTTGCACTGAAAATGCTAGATTTTTTTATGGATGCCCATTATGTGAAATAATAGTTATCATATGTTTAAAGTTTTTTTTATGGCATACACAGTCTTGGATGGCAATCCTTTTTAATCTGTCTGTCTGTCTGTCTGTCTGTCTGTCTGTGTGTCTGTCTGTCTGTCTGTCTCTATCCTGCTTTTATTATTTTTATAAATTACTCAAGATGGAGATCCTCCTCCTATTTTCCTCACAGCAACAATCCTGTGGGTTGGGCTGACAGTGAGTGACTGACTCAAAGTCATAAAGTTTCCTTTAAGTTGCAATCATGTATTTATTCAGGGATGATAAGGAGATGACGTAAATGTAAACAATGAAATCAAAGGAAATTGAAAAATGTAGAGATATTATTTTTACATATAATAAATAATATATTCTTACATATAATAAACCTTGTTTAACCCAATGGTCAAAAGATAGCATTTAAACTCTCATTAAACTATAGCTCTGAGTGACAAAGTGGAGAAATAATTTTTCAGCAGTGCTTTTTCTGATGTTTTGTATGATCTGTTTGTCTATGAAGAAGTACAGTAGACCATTGTTGGTATGTGAATAAACAATGACATATAACACCTTGAAAAGTGTATGCATTCCTGAGATTGCAGAAAAGAGCAACCAAGTTATTGAAGTATCAGACAGATACATTTTATTTATATCATCACTTAAAGTTGTACGTTTACAAGATTCTTAACTAGATATACTTGCATTATTCATTATGAATTAGTTATCCCCATCCCCACTGTAGTTAGATGAACCTCACCAACATCATCTTATAGGGGGAAAAAATCAAATGACAACTGGCTATTGACCTGCTCCTTTTGGGGAACAGCAACATGATCCATGTTATTTATGTTGAGCTTACTTAATATAATACATGAGCATAATTCTGTATTTTCATTCTATAGAAAAACTGGCAGAAGCTCAGCGCAGATTTGCTACGCTACAGAATGAATTGCAGTCAACTTTGGACGCACAAAAGGAAACCAGTGGTCTTACTACCCTGCGGCAACGAAAAATGCCTGTCTTCCATCTGTCTCATGAGGAACGAGTTCAGCATAGGAACATCAAAGATCTGAAACTGGCCTTCAGTGAGTTCTACCTCAGCCTCATCTTACTGCAGAATTATCAGGTATTGGTCATATCATTAAAGGATGTTTCTAGTGATTAAGGTGGAATTAATTGTGATTAGAGTGAGATTTGCCGGAATTTTTGCAACCAAATTACTTTTTATTTGGTTCAGCATATATAGCTATTGGTTATATGAAGTGTTTAATTTCCAATGTGCCATTTCACTCATTAGATCAGTTCAGACACATTTTCTCTTTTTTGCTTTAAATTTACCTGATGACTAGCAAAATCTTCTTTTGCTTCCAACCAAGATTTGAAAAACTAGGTATTAGGCTAATTTTGCAGTTGCTATCTGGAGTAATACGAAACATGTTATGGGGACATGCATCTTCTTGGCCACAGGTTGCCACATTTTGGTGTAGACACAGAAACATCTGCATTGGCACAAAAACATTCAGCTGGCTTATAATGGGTGTGAAAATCATGTGGTTGCAAATAATGGAATACCTTTTCCTAGCAATGATACATATAGTCTCTAGTGCATGCTAAAAATTTCTTTGAATTAAAGAGATTGACTTTCTATCAATAGACCATCATTTATATAACTAGTTAATTTGTCCTTTACCCTCTAGCACTGGTTAGTTACCACATCTTTATTTGACAAAAAGGAAAAAAATCATCAGTGTCCAAATAAATATTCTGGGGAGAGAGAGGTTGAGGAAAAGCTCTATGATCTTTTATGTCTGGTAATATTCCATACCATATGGATTGTTCGGGAAGCAGTTACTTTTTTAATTTCTCTTCTCACAGAAGTCCTACAGTTTAATGTTCTTCGTGATTAACTCTTTATTGCTCAAAATATATAATTGGAATAGAAAGATTCTGGCAAGAATACAACAGTGTGATGTAGCACTAGACTTGTCAAACACTTAATGTCGCTGAGGTTTGTCAGAAGTTGTAATTATTCCCAGAGCAATCAAAGTTATTCAACCCAGAAATAAAAATCTATGCCTGAAATTGTGACTTAATTTATTTTTTCATTTAGGCTTGTTAACAAGGTATAGCTCTCGTGGGAGAAGGGAGGCAGATTGCTGGGTTTCTTCAGGAGAGAATAATTAGAATTTCTTATTAAAGATAATATATATCATTAATATATTAGTTTCTTCTTCCCATCTCCAAATTGTTTCCATGCTTTTCTATCCTACTGAGCTCCATTATGAAATCACTCCAGGCATGATTTAATTGAAAATAATTTCAGTAGAGCTGTTGTAACTTTTCTTGTAAGCACCATATTTTGATTCTGTTCTTTGTTTTGTTTTAGATTTGGAAATGAACTTACCAACCTAGCCTAAATGAGATCATTTTCCAAATAATATTATCTTTTGGATGTTCAGTTTATAAGGGAGCTTTTCCCTCCTATCTTACATGATTTTCCCCCTTTTATTTTTTTAAATTTAGGTTGATTTTGATATATATGTTATTTTACCATATAGTTTTGTTTCTACAACAGGTTAGGTTTATTTTTTAAATTATATATTAGTATATAATAATTATACAATGATATAGTTTACTGTTATATATAATGCCACAAACTATTGAGTTTTTCTTAAATTTAATTGCACTCTTTTAAAAAATTAAATAAATATAAATATACACACATATACTCGGTGTTATCTTTAAAATAAATTACACCTTTAAAATAAGTCACACTTTTCCATGTACCTGGTGATTAAACGTAATATAATGTGCCATAGGCTTAAAATAACAATAGATTTTTCTATCAGTGTTTTAATTAATTCCCATTTATTAACAATGCGTTAAAAACAAATGAAGATTTCCATATACTTAATTTTTAATTCTTTATTTGTTTTTTCCCCTGATAATCCCATAACTTTCTTCTTTAAATATTCATTTTTTCTGATAATTATTCCCAGTAAACAGCACTTTATATGCCAGGTGTTCTAAAATGTGTTCATCAGTCAGTGAATTGGGAATGTCAGCTTGTTTCAAATCCTCTGTTTTTGTCTATATGAAGTCTGTATGAAGTATGGAGTTACTGTTAGTGACAATCAATTTTATGCATCACTATGTATAAAACTGAAAGACAACCAAATGTGGATTACAAGCAACTCTGGCATTTTAATGTAAACATGCAATTGACAAGATGAGGTTACTCCTTCAGCAGCAGTATTGTATGAGGGAATATATGATTTTTCAAAGCTAGCTTTGTTAATTTTTTGTTAATTTTAAAGAAAAAAAACACTGGCTTTATTATCATGGATAGAAAAATGTAACATATGTTTCTTTTTTAAAAAGAAAACGATTTTAAAGTTTCTTCCTCCAGGTGATTTATTTCCCTTCCCAATTCCCTGATATCAAACAAAAGGATAACATGTGCAAAAACCAAGCAAATAACATGGTTGTGTTTTATCTTTATCTTTAGAATCTAAATTTCACAGGGTTCCGTAAGATTTTGAAGAAACATGATAAGATCCTGGAGACACCACGAGGTGCTGATTGGAGAGTGGCTCATGTTGAAGTGGCTCCTTTCTATACTTGCAAGAAAATCAACCAGCTCATCTCTGAAACAGAAGTATAGTATACTACTTAAGGGATGGTTCTAGAATCTACTCTTCCCAAATGGGCCATTATTTGTAGAAATGAATTGCCTAATACACTACTGACGACTTTTGTTTCCAAACTGAAATAAAATCTCCCAGAAAACACTCAACTTGGCCAATTCCAGGAGAATGGAATAGTGTGGTCAGGAGCCAGGTTGTTTTAGTGCCAACATGGCAGATATTTATTTATAATTGCGTAGAAATTAAAATCCTACTAAATAAAGTCATTTTAGTACAAGTTGTATTTGACTTACAACCATTTGTTCTGTGAGTGTTCAAAATTTTAGCACTGCTGAACGAAGGGACCAGTTCCAACGTTACAGCTGTTGCTTTGCCCCCATGGTCAATGGATCAAACTTTGGAGACTTGGCAGCCTGTCCACGCTTACAACCACAGGGCTTTCTCCCACCGCCTGTCTCCCCCATCGATACATTTTTGCCTTCCCCTGCAGTCTGCAGCCCCTGATGCTCTGGCTAAGCTTTGCCATCTTCTTGCTCCTGCTGCTGACCAAGCATACCAGGTCTAGCCCTTGGAAGGCAGCTGCTAGCTGCATGAGGGTTTCTTCCTTAGGTCGTGCACAGCATTTTCCTAGTGATACCTGGAGAAGAATGTGGCCAGCAGCTGCCTCACAAACGGACAGACCAGGCATGCTTCATCGGCAGCAGGAGGAGGGAGATGGCGAAGCTAGGCTGGAGTGCAGGGTGATAGGGTGAGGGTATCAATGACTGAGACCAGGCTGGGATGGCTGCAGCTTCCCTGGGACAAGAGACCCTTTATGCTGTGCTGGTAGAAGTGGGCTTTGTGCTCTGCAGCAGCTCATGGGCTTCTAATGTAGCCCCAGAGTCTGAGGACCCCACAAAGCCCTTTTGCATGGCTGGGCTGAAGCTGGGTTTTATGCTGCACTGTGGCCTGGGCTTCTTGCAGCCCCAGAGCTGCAGAACACCAAGAAACCCCTTTGAACCACACTGTTGGTTGGAGTTGGGCTTTGTGCTACAGCTCAGGGGCTTCTCGCAACCCCAGAGCTGTGGTGCATGCCAAAAAGCACCTGAGCTCCAGTATATTCTTCCCCCAGCATTCCTCTGGTTAGATATATGCATGCATGTAACCTCTACCCTCTATCCCTGGCCTCCCTGAGCTTGCACCACACTGCAGAACCCACTCTCCTACTTGTGCATGGCCTGTGCCAGACCTTTCAGTGCCTCCCTTACCCTTGTGGCACCCCACACTCTTTACCTGCCCTGTGTGTCTGGAGTTAGGCAGCTGGGCCTGCCAGGTTTGCCGTGGCTAGCAGTCACATAGCATTGTGTTTTACAACCACATTGCTTAGTGATGGAAATTCCAATCCCAACTATGATTGTACATCAGAGACCGGAGATGAACTTTTAGTACCTATTTCATATATATATATAAAAAAAAACTATTAGTTATAACTTTTTATCCGTGTTTTTTTAGACAGTGGTAACCAATGAACTGGAAGATGGAGACCGACAGAAAGCCATGAAACGATTACGTGTCCCACCACTAGGCGCAGCACAGGTGATGGAAATATAAGAGGTCCTTCACTGTATTTCCTTGGATAAATGGACATCATTTAAGAGTTGGCATCAAATTCATATCTTGAATTATCCTTTACTTTGTAACTTCCACTTCAAAAATCTTGGAAGTAGACAGTGCATTAATATATAATGGCAGAATAGAAAGGATGCTAGAATAAAAAAGTTCATGCGTACTCAGCTCAGACCTATTATTCATTCCAGTTCCAGTTAATTATTTCGATATTTTCCTCTAATGTTTATTCCTATGAAAAGTCTTAGGCAAATACCTCTGTAAGACAGCAACAGTAAGAGAAAAACAGAAGGTTTTATATAGCTGAGTCATTCTTAGAGATTTTAGTCATTCATTTTAAGCAAAATATTCCTTTAGTCCATGGCTTTTGTTCATGTCTACTGAGGCCAATTGAGCCACCTTCCTTTTCCAACACTGCTTCCTTTTTCCAGTCAGCATTGGCTTAATTGCCTAACTGCTGCTTTGATTTTGATTAGACCCTGGCCCTAGCACCTTTACAGTTGCAGGTCAGCTTCTCCATTCAAAAAAGCCTTTTCAGTAGCAGCATTGACACAGTCATGTCATGAGAGCTGAATAGTTTCTTGACATTAAATCATTATCATGCTTTATCATCACCAGTACTTGGCATCAAATGCTGTGCATAGCAGTGTCTGCACTAAAAAAATGATACCTGCCTCAAGCCAATCACAACTGAGCAATTACTTAATGCTTATTCCATTCAACACTGATTCTGTGGATAAGCCTGCCACAGAGGAAACGACTGTTGATTACAGTTTCCCCACTTGTTCTAATGATTAAGGGACCAGGCTAAAAACCGGGAGACTGTGAGTTCTAATCCCATCTTAGACATGAAACTCGACTGGGTGACTTTGGGCCAGTCACTCTTTCTCAGCCCCTCATAGGGTTGTTGTTGTGGGGAAAGTAGGAGAGGGAAGGAATATTAGGTATGCTTGCCACCACAAGTTATTTATAAAAATAGTAAAGGCAGGATATAAATAAATAGCAATGAGCAGTAATTATATTCTTATTATTAGTAATAATGGGGTATAACTAGTACTGTGCTAAGGCCCACACAACCTGGCAGTGTCTTGAACTATTTAATTCCCTCCCTGGTGCTATGAAAATCCCCTTTTGGCTACTTATTTATGTATTGTTGCTTACATCCACATATAATATCTTTGCAGTATTTTACAAAGCAATATTATAATACAATCTTCTCAATATTTATTTGTACTTTAGAGTAAATAAATGGCTATAGCATTTGTAAGGCTTCGGTATGTCTCCCTAAATTGGACTTATTTACATCCATTAAAAAGGCCAAAAGTGTTGCCATTTGCTCCAATAATAGCATTTTTTCCCCTCACTGGAACAAGCAGCAGCTCAGACACAAACCTTAAGAAAAAAATTACAGTGGAAGGAAAGCCGTAATCTCCTACACCCCCTTCCTCAATATTGCTTTGCCAGCAGGATAGTCGTTCCTTTTGAGTAAAAGTAAAAGTTCAGGAGATTTAGTCTCATATCCTCACCATATACAGTTTAGGTCTAAGATTAACTTTCATTAATAAGCACGCCAGGTATATAAATGAATTCACTTGGCAGAAAGGGATTCCATAACTGGTTTGCCTGCAAACTGATATATCAGTAAGCTTGATAATATCAGCACAATCGTTTAAAATCTTAAGACAGAGATTTTATATAAAAACTGCTCTGTTTCCTCTGCAGCCTGCACCAGCATGGACTACTTTCAGAGTTGGATTGTTCTGTGGAATATTCATTGTGCTCAATATCACCCTCATACTTTCAGGTTAGTTTCAATAAGTAAACTTTACTTGGATTCAGGATTTTGTGTGTCTCTGTCTGTGTGTGTGTGTAAGTGTGTAATTTTAATGTTACCATAGGATGAGTTTTAAATCAAGTCTCTTCAAAATCTAAATAAAGGTATTAAACTCACAATGATATTTTGAATAACCTTTTTTTCCCCAGACAGAATTATTGACCCTGTACAAAGAATGAAACTGAGTTCTGTCATAACATTCAGCTGCTTTCATACCTCAAATGTAAACTAGCCTTAGGCCAGGGAATCTCAAAACGTGCAATACTGTAACCTTTTAAAATGAATGTCACAACCCTCCGTGAATAAAGTGAATGCTGTTGTTGGGATTAGGCTTGCACAAAATATAAATATACCATATAGTATTAATAATTAAATAATGTATCAGTTTACACCATCATAGAGCCTTACAATTTTATAAATGTACAACAATTTTAAAATCATAATTTTTCATATGAATTTATTTTCACATAATTCCTGAAATCTCTCCTTTATTTATTTTATTTTGAAGATATTCTTATTCGCTAGAGTTAGGAGGGAAAAAAATAAAAAGTTATCCTTGCCTTAAGTCAGTTTTTCTTAAGCTGCTATTAGATGCTACAGCGTGCAAAACACTGGTGAGCTGAACGTTGCTTTTTGTGTTCTTTCTCCTATAGCAGCCACAATACAATAGGTCAGCACTCATTCTCCCTTCCCATCGCCTCTCTTCATCATGTCAGATGATTAGAGCTTTGCGTAGAAGTCTAGTGCCCTCCAGACATGATTACTTTTCCTTTGAAAAGAAAATACAATGTGTTTAAAACACAGCATTATTATTATTATTTTTTGCATTAAACTGGCAAGCCGCCTGTGAAAGTTAGCAGGCACAGAGGTAAAGAAGGCAGACACAAACAGAGGACGAGATAGGGTATAGGTACGACTGTTCCAAACAGGTGCAAGTTGTGCATTGCCAAAGCATGACAGGTGGACTCCAGATGGATGTTGTAGAAGCAACATCAATGAAAAGAGGAGGGGGGAGCAGATTAATTCAGCTTGTAGTCCCTGAGTAGAAATAGGCTGGAAACCACAATGTTGCAGGGGGAGGGGGAACGAAAGGCTAACCCGTGTTCTTCTGCCTCTTCCTGGTTTTTCCACATGCTTTGTAATACCTTCACTGGCACCAGCAAAAAAGGTGGAGTGGTGGATAGGGCCTCCTGCACAGGCTATATAGCCCAGGCCAGGGGTAGGCAACCTTGGCTCTTTTATGACTCGTGGACTTCAACTCCCAGAATTCCTGAGCCAGCTGTGCTGGCTCAGGAATTCTGGGAATTGAAGTCCACGAGTCATAAAAGAGCCAAGGTTGCCTACCCCTGGCCCAGGCAATGGAAGAGACAGGGCTGCTGAGGTGTGGCAAAACAGTTTTTGTACAAAGGTACCTTACAGGTTAGTAGCAGCCCTGGGTAAAAGATGCAGATAAAGAGATCAATACAGAAATTATGTATCTCTCTGCCATAAGGAGAGGAGGAGGAACAGGCAAAAGAAAAATGAAAAAAGAATGAGGATATCAGAATTTTTTTTCCAAAGGGTAAGAAATTCCTGTCCCTCACTTATGCAAATCATTAAGCTCAATTGCATGTAAAAAAAACCCCTTCTCTCAAAAATGTGAGGGGCGAAGCTTTCAGTATGAGAGTGGCACTCCATATATTTTCCACCGTATTGGGAAAATGAAATTTCCAAAACCTGCTAATGAAGAATTTTTAATGCAGTATATAAAAACGTTAGTAGAATACAGCCCCAAACCTCTTACGCAAACACAACGCATCATGTCAGTTATAGGACAAATAACATGAGCAAGCATTGTATTTGCTTCCTGGATACAATTCCTGCAGCTGCAGAAAAAGCAGCAAAAATAGAAAAAAGAGAGAATGTGCATTTCATTAATGGAGAACAAAGGAACAGTGAATGACTCAGACTTAAGGGGAAAAATAGGTAAAAATAAATATAAAAAGACATATCACAATCTGTTTTCTGCGGTGAAAAGAAATTTCTCAGGTTCGTTCCTCCAACTGGAAGTAAGCCTTCAGCTGGACGAAGGAAAAAAAATTGACACTGAGTGAAGCAAGAAAGTGGATTTTATTACAGAAGCCAGATAGAGAAGTGATTCAGCAATGGCTTCTGGACTAGCTAGTAAAAAACACCTAAAAACATGGTACAATTTATACTCTTTTTCCTATTTTAAGTCTTGATGAGATTTGTAAGAAGTTTGTTCTTCTTAATTTCCTAGCTTGGTTTTTTTCCCTGTCAACAGGATTGATTAATCCTATCACCCAGGGAAGGAAATAACTTGTTGATGAAGTTTTTGTGTGTCTAGGTTAATCTTGTCATAGGTGCTTGTGTGTGTCTGGGGTTAATCTTGTTATTGGTTCTATGTGTGTATAGGGCAATCCTATCATCTTCCTTTTGGTTTGTTCAAGGCTAGTGCTTATCACTACATTGTTTCTTTTGCTTAGTGTTTCTTGGCTGTCTGCCTGAGGCTATTAACTGAGGAGGGGGGGGGAGGAAGAGAGAGGAGAGAGAGAGAAAGAGAGAGAAAGAGGGGAAAAACCCTCTTCTCTGGTACTTTTATTTTTCAGCTTGACTTTTCTAAGAGAAGGGAAATGGATGTTTCTTTTGGAGCAGCCTTTCGAATTTGTAATAGTTGGTTTCTGGGGCTAGGTTTTCTACCTCTTTTCCTATTGTTCCTGCCTGTTTAACATTTCCCAAAGATATTTCTTTTTCATGGGTATGTAGATGCTAACTTCTAATTATTGATTGAATCAATAATCCATCACTGCTATGGAGCAAGTTTCGAATTGACTCCGGAGTTCAGAGATCTTAAACCAGGGGTGGGGAACCTTGGATCTTTTATGACTTGTGGACTTCAACTCCCAGAATTCCTGAGCCAACATGGCTCAGCTTGGAAACCTCTCCCTTTCCCCTCAGCATGGCTGGCTCAGGAATTCTGGGAGTTGAAGTCCACAAGTCATAAAAGAGCCAAGGTTCCCCACCCCTGTCTTAAACGGTTGCTCCACAGGAATTGCATCCCATGAGGGAAGCCGAGCGAGGTATTTACTTTGGAAACGGGCATTTGTAAATCTAACCAAATAGGCCAAAGCTGACAGCTGCTCTTTGCTAAACTCCCCCCCCCAAAAAGCAACGTTGCAAAAAGAGAAACCAGCGAAGGAGCCAAACTTTTTCCTTCGATCTTCTCCGGAGGAAAGAGGAACACGGCATCCGCCAGGTGTTTTTTGTCCAAATTGGGCACCCAAAGCAAAGGGGAAAAAACTGCTGCGGAGTTTTGAAAAACTTCCAGGGCTGCTGCACCCCTTCCCGAAATGAAGTGCCCCGCGCAGCCCGGCCTTGTCCCGCACAGCTGCCACGACACCCGGCCACTTACTTGTCCAAAATTAAGTACAGGTTGAAGCCCCCATAGCAGGCGGAGCCCCCTCCTCTCGCTGCCCCCTCACCGTCACAGGAGAGCATCAGGGCGGCCAGGAAGAGCCATTGCAAGCCCCGGGAAGAGGTCTCTGCGCTGCACGAGCCATTCCCGAATCCAGGCAGCCCGAGGGGCGAAGGTCCCGGGGCTCTGCTCCTCCCAAGCTCCTTCAGTAGATGGCCAGGCGGTGGCTTCTCGGGATCAAATCCTCATGTTCAGAAAGGAGAGGAAAGGGCTATCTGGAGGTGGGTTTTTAATTTTTTGGGGGGATGGTTTCAGATTTCCCTTCTGCTCTGCTTTTCTTCTAGTCCATTTTCAGGGCACCGCTGCCTTACGCTTCCAACACAGCGCAGCCAAGCCTGCCACTGTCGGCCAGGCGATTGGCAACTTCTAGTTCCCATTGCTTTGTTTTGCCCCAGATTTGAGGAACGTGGAAGCCTCATCCCCCCTCCCGCCCCCTTCCCCGCGAAGGAAAGAGCTGGAATCCGATGCTGATCCTGGTGCTTCTGCTGACCCCCCAAAAAGAAGCGCCAATCAGAAGAAGCACCAATTAGCTAGAGCCTGGTGCTGATCCTGGTGCTTCTGCTGAGCACTGACAGCCCTGCAGCTCCAGCCATCTCTTGCTCAGGCTTGTGTGGTGTTGCCACCAGTTCAGCTCATTTCCCTCCTGGTTTCGGCAGGCAGCAGCGCATTCTCCTCACTGTGCAGAGCGGCTGAGCCAAGCGAGGTGAACCGCACGGAGTGGCCGGGTGAGGTGAACCGGCGACATGCCGAACCTGCCTGTGCGTGTGCAGAGGCAGAGGCGCTTGGCTCAGCCGCTCTGCGCGGTGAGGAAAATGCACCATTCCCTGCTGAAACCAGGCTGGGGTCTGGGTGGCATAGCGCAGGTATTGTGGACTCCCATGCCGCTTGCAGCATCCCCTCCCCCGGAGTCCATGGGTGTGTGAAGAGGGTGAGGGCCATTTGCTGATCTCCTTCAGGGGATGCCTGTTTTTCTTCCTCCTTCATTACAAATATCTTCCCGCCACTCTGCTCTCATGGCTGTGCGGCTCTTGTCCAGCAATTTACAGTGGCCTTTCAAGCCATGGCCACCGGCAGCACAGCCACCAGCCACGCTGGCGGCTTGTCCCCATCCTCTTGTCCCTTCCTGGGCAGGGAGGGAGGGAGGGAAGGAAGGAAGGAAGGAAGGAAGGAAGGAAGGAAGAAAGGAAGGAAGGAAGGGAGGGACAATGAGAGGGAGGGAAGGAAGGGAGGGAGGGAAAATGAGGGAGGGAGGGAAGGGAGGGACAAAGGGAGGGAAGGAAGGAAGGGACAATGAGAGGGAGGGAGAGAAGGAAGGCGCCTACCCCAGTCCCACGGATCCCCGCACAGCCCCACCTGTACCCCCCATAGGTGCCCTGCAACCTGAGTGATGAGCTGGCCATGCCCCCCCCCCCCCCCGGCAATTGACTTTGCTCGTCAAAAAGTTGCAAAAGGTGATCACATGAGTCTGGGACACTGTGCCAAGCATCCGAATGTAAATCACATGACCCTGGGGATGCTGCAACAATCATAAGTGTAAAAAATGGTCATAAGTCACTTTTTTCAGTGCCGTTGTAACTTCGAACAGTCACTAACCGAATTGTTGTAAGTCGAGGACTACCTATATTTTATCATTTTTTCCTCTTTTTTTGGTCAGTTTGCTAGGTGATTGGTGGTACTCGGATATTGCCTTATCCTAAAAGTGGTACAATGGGTGAAAAGATTGAAAAGCCCTGGACTAGATCATATATTCCACTTCTCTCTCTTCGTTTTAGCAAGATGTCCATTTTACAAAACAATACTTCCTGGTCTTTATAGCTGTTTTTGTTCTGCTTATTAAATATGCTGGCATCCTCTGGGGCTGATTTTTCCCCTTATTATAATGATATGCATTCTAGCAGTTTCAAATGAATACCAAGCATTTTGCTTTATTTATTTATTTATTTATTTCATAGGGATCTGGTTCCCATTTTGAAATCAAATGATACATCTTTGGAAATTTTCCATTTGTTTCCCTCTTTTTTGTGTGGTCATTGTTCCCATTCATTTCAAGAATATTTGTATCTGGCATTAGATTTTGATATCACCATGTAGGATTTGGGACACAATTGTTTTTCTTTTGATTTTTTGATCATCTCTTCTAAATAATAATCACATAAGATATATAAGAATTTTGTCTGTGTCACAACTTGTCACTCATATTTAAAAATATTTGAAATAATCTATTTTACACTTTGCCTTTTTTGGCCTCTTGATTTATTTTTATGTCATGAGATTACCTTCTATATTTTGGTAGAGTTGAAAGATAGTGTGTTCCTCATGTCAAATTGCTACTTATGTCTGCCGCTGTATTTGAAAAGCTGAGAGAGAGTCATTAGACAAGAATTTGAAGTGTTCTCAGTTCTTTTGTTTTTTCTAATTTATAATCATCACCATATGTACAATAACCCATGCTGAATATTCTGAATATTCCTTATCTTTCCAAGGCTGGAATTATGTTCATTTATCTTTCACGGAGACTTAATATAATCTACTTGGCAATATAGATCTAAAAATATACAGAAGATCAATTATTTTTTACTACTGTTTAAAATGTTCTGATTGAAGTAGTATTAAAAGGTTCAAGGGACAGCTTATGCCAGTCATGAGAAATCTACAATGGCACTAATTAATTCAACTATATAGCAATCTTCTCACTTATAGCTGCTTTTTAAAAATCTGGCTGTTTTTCATGAGCTCATAGAGAAATAAAAGCTTATAAAGAGACATAGAGAATTTCTTCTATTTCCTTTGTGGCTCTTACCATTTAGATAGCAATCCTATGAGTGCTTGTTTAGAAGTAAATTTTAGATAGGCTCTATTACAAAGAAAGAATAGATAAGATAGAAAAGAAAAGAAAATAGCTTAAATGAATCTAAAATAATTAGAGTTTACATAAATTAAAAAAAACAAAGTTTCAAGAGTAGCTTTATTAGGCATACTCTCCTATGCTTATGGTATCATACCTAAGATATAGGATGCTATTTCTGGCAAGATGTGTGTTGTAATTATAAGCAAAGTTTTAAGAATTTAACTCCTGGTATCCTTTAGTCTAGATCAGCGGCCTCCAACCTTTTGGACACCAGGGATCCATGGAAAGAGAGGTTTTTCCATGGACCCAAGGGGGTATGGTTTCATGTGCTGCCTGCATTCCATGGAGGGAGCTTCGCGTGTTTGCACAACCCAGTTGATCCCCACTGACTGGGGGTTGAGGCCCCCTGCTCTAACACAACCCCTTGCTATGGGCCATGATGGTTGGAGTGATAGGAATTAGACCAAACATAACATGCTCCATATTGCCGCATGATTTCCTGGAAATTGTCCAAAATTGCCAGAGTATTTTTAGGGCAATTAATCAAGTTATTTATTATATCTTTATTTCAGATATTTCCAGGAACTATAAGATACATAGTCATTGCCAGCTGACAAAAGCAGAACATTCTCTTTCCAAAATAGCATTTTTAACTATTATCCCAAACATTTTGCCTTATATTACTTGCTAAGCCATGTGCTTGTTCTTCGAAAAAAAATTAAAATATTTTTTCTTAGATTTTTCTGAGATCATCCTCTCTTTAACTTTTTTTCCCTCCCAATAAATTCACATTATCAATTGTTTCTCCTGTATTGTCGCATTTGCTTTACTTTAGTACTTACCTAGTACTATCCTTCACCTAAAAAACTGCAATCAAATTACTAAATCACTTTGTATGGCATATATTTTGTAATTAAATTATTGATATGTTAAATAAATAAATAAATAAATAAATAAATAAATAAATAAGGGGCATTTAGTTATGATCTTTCATCAGCATTCCTATTATTTTTAAATAATGTAGTTGCTGTTGTTATTGATTGCAATGAGTCCATATAGATTGTGGTGATAAATAAATAAGTAAATATATAAATGAAATGAAGAAAGGGAGCAAACAGTTTTCTCTCTCCTAATACTACAACTTGAGGTCATCAAAGAAAACAGATTATTAGGTAGAAATGCATAATGAGAGCCAATTTGGTCTACTGGTTAAGGCAGGGGTGTCAAACTGCTGGCCCATGGGCCGGATGCGTCATCTGGAAGCCGTATCCACCCCAATGCCGGCAATGGCAAAACCGTCCCGATACGTTTCGCGACGTCATGTGATGTCGTGAGTTTGACATGTCTGGGTTAAGGCATCAGGTTAGAAACTGAGAGACTTGAATTCTAGTCTCACCTTAGGCGTGAAGGTCAGCTGGGTGACTTTGGGCCAGTCATTCACTCTCGGCCTAATCTACCTCACAGGTTTGTTGTGGGGAAAATAAGAGGAGAAAGGAGTATTATGTATGTTTGCTGTCTTGAGTTATTTATAAAAATAATAAATGTGGAATATCAACAAGCTTTGGTTTACAGCCATATGATAGTAATTGGAATTATCTTGGTTGGCTACAAAAATGGAGAGACTATATCAGTATCAACTAATGATGTGGATTGTATGGAATGTCTGTCTTCAAAGGTTACATGCTTCTCAGTATCAACTGCTAGGGAACATCAAAGGGAAGGAATTTTTATATCCTTGTGCTGATGCTTGACAGCTGGTGCTTGCATTGAAATGGCCATATAAAGCATTTTGTTTACGTATAGCAGCTAGGACTAGTGTACATATTGTAGTAAAATGGAAAAGAAAGAATCATGTCTGAGTCACCTTCAAGTTTCTATCAGGATAATGAAACTTGCTCTATGTACACCTAGATAAAGAAGCTGTAGTCTTTAGATCAAAAGATAAAGAGAACTTCAAGCACACTCCTGGGGATTTCACAGACACAGATATGTTAATTTCTTCAACAGTATGGAAATGGTTTGCCATTACTGTTACCCTGGTGTTCCTTGGTGGTTTCCCACCATAGCACCAAGGCCTGCTCCTATTTACCTTCTAAATTCAGACAAGATCAGACAGGTGTTACTATCTGCTGAAACTTTTCATATATTGCTGAAATATAATTCCCAGCATTCATCACAGTTTCACAGGTTGGGCCAGCCTGCTGGGAAGTGTAGATCAGCAAATATGGAGGGTCAGCTGACTCTGTTCTGATCAGAAAGGGAACATAATTGCTGAATTTAAGCAAGTATGACTTTTAAATACATTTATTGCAGAATTTTAAGTACAGAGAAAAGAATATGTCCTTTATTATAAAGAAAATGTACCTTAATTATCTCTAGTAGGTTGTTCATTTTGTATAAGTTTGATTTGCATCTTTTCCTTGATAGGTGTGTTTAAAATGAAAGGATCAAATGTGTGGCCACTGATAAGAATCTATCGAGGGGGCTTTCTTCTGATAGAATTCCTTTTTCTCCTTGGCATCAACACGTACGGCTGGAGGCAAGCTGGAGTGAATCATGTTCTCATCTTTGAGCTCAATCCCCGCAGTAATTTGTCCCATCAGCATCTTTTTGAGGTAAGTTCTATAACTTAAGGAGCTTTACATGCGCCTGTACTTATTTTGAAAAGCAGGACCTCTTTAATTCAGTTGCACAGATTCTAGCTAAATGTATTGTTTGTTTGTTTGTTTGTTTTAATTATTGTGAAGAATTTTTCTAAGATTTTTCTTTAAAATGGAAGCATCTCACACTGGCCATACTAACTAGGTAGTTCAGCATCTGGCCACAGAATTCTATGCACATAGTTTTTTTGTGTTGTGATTTAAATATTGGCTATGACCGAAAATCGTTTTTGTTTATATGTAAAATTTATTTGCTGCCCATATAGTATCCAGTGACTTTGGGTGACTTACAGCAGGGTTTTCAACCTTTTCACAGATTGTACCACTTTCAGGACATACAATATTTGAGTACCACCAGTGCTTAGCAAGGTGTCAAAAACTTGATGACTAAAAAAAAAAAGGGGGGGGGATTTTGGGTTTTACTGATTAGATTCATTTGTTGTTATAGAAATGGCTAATTTACAATATGGAAAAGTAAAAAGTTGAGGTTCAATGTTAATGCTTCCTTCTACTGCAACAGAGGAAGTCTGTTCTTTTTCCCTTCTCCCACTCACTTTCCCTCCTTTTTCCTCTCCACTGTGTCCTACTATTTGCTTTTGTATTTTTGTATTTTATTCTATAATCTAATAAAATATTACAAACTGTAGAAAAAAAGTAAAAAAGTACCAGTTTTAATTTCTTCGGTGGCTGTTCCTTTGCTGAATCACTTTCCCTTTGCACTGACAAATGTATGATGAATTTATCCATATTTATTAATATGCACCACTACCAGCTGGCTGATCGGCCCTTCTTCCTCCCTGCCTTCTGAGCTCTCCTTCCACAGTGTAGTAAGAATGCACACACACACAACCCAGTCCCTTCACTGTACCCTTAAAGACACAGGAATGAAGTGCAAAGCAAGAAAGGCTCACAAAAGCCTCCCAGAATAAAGAAACACTAAAGTCCAGTTTTTTTTCTTTAAGCTGCCTCAGGCGGTCTCAGTTTTAAACAATATAGCAACCTGAGCCTAAAAGGCTCCACAATTGCGAAATGTGATAACCTTAAATTAAGCCTGTTTACCTACAAAGAAAACTTGCTAAAAGCCATAGACAAACTCAAGATAAGGGGGTAAAGCTAATTACATTTGTCCTGCAGCTCCAGCTGCCTCTCTCTCAGGCTTGGATCGCTTCAGCTCATTCTCCTCCCCTGCTACACTTGTCTAGTAAGGTCACGTACCACTTCCATGTGCCAAAGTACCACCGGTGGTACGCGTACCACCGGTTGAAAAGCCCTGGCTTACAGTATAATAATAGAAATATTATTACTATCTTCCCTTTCTCTTTTGGAAGTATTAAATATGTAATGGATTGTCATTAAAATTCTTTTTTAAAAAGGCCTTTATATCAGCAGAAGTGAGCTAATACTTTCTTGAAAGGGCATTCTATAGGTACACGTCTGCTATAATCTAAAATAACTTGCACTTATCTACTGAAATTTAAGTGGAAGAGTGAGAATTGTTATGCAAAGTGTTGTGTTAGTATCGATGAATGAAGACATTTTCCATACAGAGGTAATCCTCAATTTACGACTGTAATAGAGCCTGAAATAATGGCAGTAAATCATGGCAGTCATTATGTGAGTCACCATGTGACTGCCAATTATACACTCTTTTTGTAGTGGCTGTTAAGTGAATAGTGTGGTTGTTAAATGAACCCATTTTAGCCAATGGGCATTTTTTTGCTAGAAACCAAAGTAAACACCAGTTTCTGGCAAAAATGCTGAAAATTGTGGTACACTGCAAAGATTCATAAATGTGGACCAGTTGCCAAGTGCCTAAAATGTAGTTCTAGGGTAGTGATGGCGAACCTTTTAAAGACCGAGTGCCCAAACTGCAACCCAAAACCCACTTATGCATCGTTGGGTGCCGGGTGGGTGTGGCCCATTGGGTGAGTATGGCCAATTGGGGTGTGTGGCCTATTGGGTGGGCGTGGCTGTGTTGGTAACGGCAGACTGGGTGGGACTAAAAGGTTCAATCAATCAATTCCAACTTTGCAAGATCTTTTATTTCCCCACAAGAAGTTGAAATTGACTGATTGATTGAACCTTTTTTTTTTTTTTTTGCACACGGCAGCGGAGGCCTAAAGCGAAAAGGTTTTATAAAACCCAGCTGAAGGCCTAGGATTGGGGCAACGGCACGCGTGCCCACAGAGAGGGCTTTGAATGCTGCCTCTGGCACCCATGCCATAGGTTCACCACCACTGTTCTAGGGACATCTGCTGTAACTTTGAACAGTCACTAAATGATCAGTTGTAAGTTGAAACTACCTGTAGAGTCGCCTTATGAGTGAGATAGATAGCAACATTGAGATGGGCAAGATATACATTTAATAAAATAAATAAATAAATAAATAAATAAATATAGTCTAGTCCTAAATGATATCAGAGTTTAAAACTTTTAACTTAGAATTTGAGTTGGAGCTGAAAATATATTAATAAATAATGTAATACTGAAGTATGATATTCCTAATATATTTTGTGTCCTGCTTTATCTGCACATAACTGCTAAATTTGCATTTAAAAATGTAATCTTTCTAGATTGCTGGATTCCTTGGAACGCTATGGTGTCTGAGTCTGCTGGCATGCATATATGGAGACAGCACTGGATTTCATATGCAGGCAAACCCACTTATCTTGTATGGATTTATGCTGCTGTTCCTTATCAATCCTACAAAAACCTTTTACTACAAGTCTCGATTTTGGCTGCTTAAACTCTTGGTAAGTCAAGATCTAGTTAAAATCCATCAGCAACTGACAATCTCAACACTCTTCCTGTCAAAAATATTATAATTAAATATTCTCAGATTTAGTTAAATGGACTGGCTACATTGCTTATCCATAGGCAATTTGTACAGTAAATTTAGTCAGTGATATCCATATGATGCACAGCAAAACTTGACAGAAGTCCCATAACTATGTGTTTGATAGTAAAATCATTGCATTATTTTTGGAATATAATAGTTCTATCTCCATTGCTGAAATAAGTATCATTTTAGATAACAACTGATCAGATGTACTGTGAATTCTTCTATTTTACGTACTATGCTTTTTAATATAAGTGATTGCAATGTACACTGGCATTTCATAACCATCCCATTGTCAGTGTTACTCTTTGAATAATTGTGTCTTGATCATAAAAATGTAACCATTATATTTTGTTCTTATATCCAAAATATAAACATCAGTAATAGATATGACTTCTCATTACTGCTTTAAGTATCGTACCGTTCTACTGTATCCTATATTTTCCAACACTGAGAGTGCTGCTTTGCTCACTCATTCTCTTGTAGCATTTGACTCCGCTCTTTAAAGAGCAGAATGAATGAATCACTGAATTCTAGCTTAATATTCATAACATTGTTAAGTAACATTCATACTGAAATTAGCTGATTTGAAATCAATGGGGAACTGAAATTTGATGCAACTGTTATTTCAGCAAAACCCGTATATAATAGGCAGAAGGAGAAACAATTGAAGGAGGTGAATAAGGAGAATTATGAAATCATCAGTTGTTCTTTACAATTACAAAATTCAAAATGATGTACAATGTAGCTTAATCTGTATAAATGTGTACAGTCTCAGTGACTGCAATGCTTCATCATTCATCATGAATACTCTGCTCCTTTTCATTTTGAACTTGATCCAACTAGCTAAGCTTCTGGATTCATAAAGAAATGTATATTTTCCAAGCATTAGGCGATTTTATACTGTTGTTGCCTCATTTTATGTGATTTAATCTGTAAATCAAATCGCTGTTATTTCTATAAGATTTCTATAGGTTAAACCTGTATATACTTTGAAAAGAATGATTTCTACCAAACAGCACAAAAGCCAGAGTTTCTGGATAAATTTTTTTGTAATTATATTTTGGCAAAGTAGGTCTAGTTATGACTGGAGGAATTTAAAAGATATGTGTGGTATCTAAAATATCACCAGCAAAAACTCCAGTTTGGCCTAGTGATTAAAGTATTGGCCTAGAAACCCCGAGACGGTGAACTCTAGTCCCACTTCAGGCATGAAAGCTGGCTGGGTGACTTTGGGTCAGTAACTCTCTGTCAGCCCAACTCACCTCACAAGATTGTTGTTGTGGAGAAAATAGAGGAGGAAGGAATAATGTATTTTTGCTACCTTGAGTTGCTTATAAAATAAAGAGATGGGATAAAAATCCAATAAATAATCCTCTGTCCTTTGCTTGTTTGTATTGTATAGATCTTGGTGTTACCATTTTAGCATTTGAATGTTGATATTGTAAATAACCATGCAGGAAGAACTATAATCCAAAATAAATGGAGCATGAAATGTCCTAGTTTGAGAAACATATAGCTCAACGTGGAATGGACTGAGATGGAAAAGCATCTGTTTTTACTATTTCTTCCACTAAGGTTGCAATAGTGTACAAAAGCAAACATTTCCACCACTGTGATCTTTAGTACTAAACAGTTTTCCTAAACTTGATGCTTTATAAAATTGTTAATGTCAATTAATACTGTAATATTACTGAACCGTTTTCCCATTGAAATTAATCACAAAACTCTCAATAATAATACAGTTTTAATTTGAATGCCTATTATAATAAATGTAAAACAAAATTTGAATACAAATTCCCAGTTCAATATTATCTACAAACTTACTATGTTTTTTAAAAATTTAGTAAATAGCGAAGGTAAGCAAAGCACTTTAAAAGTTAGATACATCACCTCCCTCAGTCCACTATCTTTGGTCATACATACTAAAACTAGTGATCGTTGCGTACTGTGCATTAGGACAAACAAGCTCATAATAATTAAACATGCTATTTACATAAAATTGCACTGAGAATTCTTTTAGTTTCTACAAATGATAGAATAATTTTTGTAATGCAGTTTTACCATTTGAATCTTTTGTTTGTGTGTAGTTCCGGGTATTCACTGCCCCCTTCCATAAGGTGGGTTTCGCAGATTTTTGGCTCGCTGACCAGCTTAATAGTCTGGCTGTAATACTTATGGACCTTGAATACATGATCTGTTTCTATAGCTTTGAGCTCCAGTGGAAAGCTAAAGATGCATTGCTGGAAGATCCAGGTATGTCAGTGAGAAGAGATTTTGTAACTGCCATATAAATTGGTGCATACTGTGTGTTTAAGACAACTTAAGCTTTATTTATTCAATGCAACCATACAGTTGCAGTCATTATTCACTAGACAACCCCTGCCCTGTTGGGTCATTGTTTCAAAGATATTTCCTTGCCTAAATGGAGAAACAGAATGACCCAGGACTGGCAAAAAAAATAGTGGGAGCAGGAGTGACTTCTGAGTTCCTGCCACTTTCCCCAGTGAGTTTCTTTATGGGAATCAGGCACGGAGCATCAGAAATGAGGGAGGGAATGGGGGATTTCAAGATTAGCTAGAAAATTGTCAAAAAACATTGGAAATGAAAATTATGTCACCTCAGTGGCAGCCAAGCAGTGCAACAATGGCCAGTACCACTGAAGCAGCCTTAAGCAGCCTAAGTTTCCCATATTTCATTCCCTTGGGAGTAATGGTTCCTGAATTTTGAACACATTCTGTAAATTAGCCCATTTGAGGTATCTTGGTTCAAAAATTGTTACTTTATTATGCACTATTTCACTTAATTAAAGTGCATGACAAGGAGAATTTTTAGTAATATATACCGTGTTTTCCCAAAAATAAGACCAGGTCTTATATTAATTTTTGCTCCAAAAGACACATTAGGACTAATTTTCCAGTTAGGTCTTATTTTCAGGGAAATACGGTACTAAATGTGTCCATCTGGGTGACGATCTTAACTGGGGATGGGGTGGGATGGAAATAAAGAATTGTATTTATTTGCTAAGTTTACATTTTCCAATATTCCCTTATCTCTGAACACACATATGTTATGCGTGCCTGGGTACTTTAAAGTATTTGATTTATATTGTTGAATATTAACTGGAATTGTTCATCTGTAATTCACAATATCATTTTCCTAGAGATTTCTTACCTTTTGAGAGTTTTTTTTTTTATAGGCGTTCATGTTTGCAACACCTATGCTTATGGTGTGCGTGCGGTTGTTCAGTGCATTCCTGCTTGGCTGAGATTTGTCCAGTGCCTGCGCCGATACCGGGATACTAAACGGGCCTTTCCCCATCTGGTTAATGCTGGGAAATACTCCACCACATTTTTTATGGTGACATTTGCAGCCCTTTACAGCACCCACAAAGGTATTATTTTGGAGCCTTTGCTGATGAGCTCAGCGTCTCTGTTTTTAAGTGCCAGCTTATTTGCGATTTCTCAGAATTACTTACATAACTTTACTGGGATCATTATCCAGCATACGATTTCATAGAATTGTTGACAGTGTGTATTTATGAGGCACAGGTAGTCCTTGGTTAATGACGGCAGTTGGGACTGGGAACTCCATCACTAAGCAAGGCTAAATGATCACACCAAATTATGACAGCAGTTCCGGCAGTTCCAGTTGTGGTTGTTAGGCAAAACATCTTGTGATTTCCATTTGTGATCTCCTGCTGGCTTTCCCAATGACTACTTGTCTGAAGCTAACAGTGAAGATCACAAATGATGATTCAATAACTATGAGATACTGCGACCATCATAATTGTGAGCTGGTTGCCAAGCACCTAAATTATTATCATGTGACTACAGGAATATTGCAATGATTGCAGCTTCTAAGACTGGTAGTAAGTCTACTTGTTCAGCTGTATTGTATCTTCAGAGTGTTGCTGAACACTCATAGTCATTGGCTGAGAACTATTTAAGACATCTATGGTAAATTTCAAGAATTTCTACTGAATAAATTAAGTAAAAGAAATTTAGTTAATCTTTTTCCATTCTGCTATGGATTTTAATGAGCTAAGCAGCAGAAATAAGTAAGTCCTGTGTATTCACTTATTAAAACAATTGTATTTTTTTTTAATTCTAGGCAATTGTACTATTTCAGTTCCTATCTTCCAAATTAGTGCATAGTTTTTCTATAGTACTGTTAGATGCATCATGCATAAACTCACACATGCACTAATATACCCATACACCCACAATTTATATAAAAGGACCATTTTCTATTCCCAAAGGAATTTGCCAAAATTTTAATTATAGGAAAGATATCATTATTATCATCTTAATTTATTATTGTTTGCCTAGTCCAAAAGATTCTGGGTGGTTTACAACACTTCAAAGTTAAAATAGTTAAAAACAGAACTTCAAACATAAGAGCTTGGACCAAAAAAACACAGCTACTACAATAGAAGAACACAATAGGAGCTTCACAAACAATCTGATCGTAGTCTCTTAGGATTTATGCAAATGTATTTTTGTTATAAACAAAGACAGTTTATCTCATAGAATCTATAGTATTTCAAGAAGTATGCAATAATTACTATCCTTCTGATACCAGTTATACTATCCTGCTGCATGAAGCTGAAATATATCATTGCCTGATGAATGTGAAGAAAAATACTCCGTTCTAGAAAAGTACCTATTGATCACATACACATACACACACACACACACACACACACACACACACACACACAGGCCCACAAACACACAAAGCCTGAAACAGAAATATATGCAAAATGATAGGAAATTGTTTTTAAATGATTAATCTACAGACTGAGATCCCTGAACCATCATGTTCCCATATCTTTGTGGAAACCACAGTGATGTCCTTTTGCTGTTTTTACAGAAGAATAAAGCACTTAGTACTTTTTAGGCACTTACAGCATCTTTATCTTTCCCCCACCTCACCTCTTTCAACTGTTATTCCTGTCAGGAGGTTTAAATTTGTTCTAAAATATATACTGATTTATTTACTTTTGCACATATTTCACTTATATGTAAGAATAGAAAAACTGCCAACTTTGTTCTACTAGTTACCCCCCCCCCATAAATTTCTAATTCTCTTCAGTTGATTTATATATTTTTTATAATTCTAAGAGAAACATCAGGCTTCATATGGAACCCTAGATCTTCCTCCCAATTTGATGGTAAAGAAGAGGAATTAACACTTGAAAAATCATAGTAAAATCCAAATGTTTATATGCAAATTCGAGGGTATTATACACTTGCATCAAAATTAACAATATTGAAAAGAAGTTTTCTTTGAGGAAAAGCCAAGATGGAAGGGAATGGTGGCTGCTGTTGCTAGAAGGCATATGTGGAGTTTTAAGAGGAAATATCCTACTTTATCCTTACTTCCAGAAACATAAAATGCTGGTGCCTAATGCAGATCACTCTAAAGAACCCTTGTCTTCAGAAAGATTATGGAATAATGTAGGGAAAGGGTTTGTAAGACTTGTTTATTCAATAAGAATAATATGTACAGTATGTCAAGAGAGAGGAGTGATTCCTTGTATGACAGATTATTACTGAATAGTATTTGAGGCTTAAAAAAAACTGTTTTCAGCCATCTTGTACCAAATTCATAGGCAATGCATTTTTATACAGGTCTACCCAGAAGTAAGTTTCATTCGTTTTAGTAAAACTTTACTTTTGGATTAACTAGATACTGAAATGCAAGCAAAATCTTTTCCAGAATTATTATAAGCCAAAGTAAAGCATGAAAAACGATTTTTAAAAATTCCATGATTAGATAAAGAAGACAGTTTCAAATATCTGCATCTCCTTCTTTGCTTTTTTCTTTCTTTGCCTGGCCTATTTATGAGGTACAGGGAAGATTTTATATAGTTTATATAGTTAGAGTTATTGGGAATTCTGGAAACAACCCAGAGCAAAGAAATCCAATTCCAGAGTTGTATAAATGGTTATATAATACGTGAACAGTCTAATAAAAAGAAAATAGAAGAAATGTTTTCAAGACCTGATAAAATTATAGTCAGCAAAGATGAGCATGAATTAGAAATTGTTTAGCATAAGATAATAAATGGCAAAGATACAGCATGTGAAATATTTTTCTCTGTGAAATAGAATTTTCACTTGTCTCTTTGTACATGCATATGCCCAATATTTACTATTCATGTGCTTGGATTTTATCCGACCTCAAGAAAATAAGTAGTCTGATTTCTCTAAAAGGCCACATTTCTTTATTATAGTCTACATCTTCAAAACAAATATTTTATATTCCAATATAAAACAAATATTAAGTAGTAAATAATTATGGTATCAGAATTCATTTATTTAAAGAATTTTGAAGACCACCCAACTGATCAGATGACTCTGGGTTGTATACATAAGTAAAGTCAAAACTAATAGAAATCAAAATAGTGAACTATGATTATACAGATCCACTTAGTTGAGCCTAAGCATGACAGACATTTTCTCAGTGAAATTCTCAATTATCTCAATGTTCAGAAGGAAAGTCAAGACTTCATGGCTCTGTGAAAGGCTAACAGGGTTGGGCCATCTGAACAGAAGTGTGTGTGGGGGGGGGACTCATTTCAAAGGACAGTGGCACCAGCAAAGGAGGCATGTGTCTTAGGTCTCATTAGATGACATACAGCCACAGAGAAGGATATGATACATTCCCATTTTATGTGACCTGGTAATTTTCATAATTCTTTACTTTTTATTATTCTGGCTAAAAAAATATGCTTGTGCATTTCTCTTATTACTGAGATGTGGTGAGTTTGGCTGTCATTTTGGATCTTTACATTGCCATTTCCTCATTGTTGCAGTATCACTGAAGGCTCCTTTTTATTCAAAAATATTTGAATTCATTACTAAAACTAACATAATTAGCTTGATAAAGTCTTTTGTAAATTTTAAGTTGCTTCCATTCTATAATTTTCAACAGGCTTTCAAAAATCTTGCATAAAAGGTTTGGTATAAAATTAGCATACCCAAAGATGTTATGAGAATTGGTTAGGCATGTAGCTATATGTGATCAATTTTATGCTAGTCAGGAGATGATATCATTTATCTTTCTTTCTATTCATTGTGAAATTTAATTTACAATTTAACTAGATTTGGATTCAGTTAAAAAGTATAAGCACTCAAAGACCAAACCCCTGTCAGATAGTATTAAATCTTTTTTCTTTAGGAATGACTATTGCTATCTGTTAAGTAGCAGTTTGATTTTGTTATAACTGAAATTCTCTTTCTTAGAATGCATCTGTCAAAAAATGTGTTTGAATTTTCTTTTTCTTTTCTTCTTCGTCTTTTGTTTAAGCAAAACTTAATGTTAAAACTAGTTCAGAGACAATTATAACATGCCCGATTAAACAAATATACCAAGGCATTGATATATAAATGACCAGAAAAAAAGAATAAAATGACAGGAAGCTACATCTTTGGAATTTAGAACTGATGTGTTTCTGAAGGATATTCACTTGAAGAAAAAGACGGGTGGGGATGGGGGAGGAAGCAGTTCACTTACTGTCGGAATTCTGCCAAAGAAGAGAGCTGTCATGGTCGTCATGGTAACCAAAGTATTCATTATTTTTTAAAAACCTTTCCACCCCATTACTGGCCTTGCCCCTCCTATGCTCTTATATCCCAGTTGCTGGCTTCAGATAGAAGTGAGGGTGCTAAGCTTCTACTCTGAAAATGAATACTACTTTGTGTGGATGGTGCTTCAACATACTACAGCTTTTTTGAGGGGCTTGTTTTCCTTCATTGATTTTTTGATGTTGAAATTTCTGGCTGTATTCCAAAGACAGAATCTATGGAGGAGGAAGAGCGCCAACAAGCAAGAGAGAGATTAAGTATAGGTGGAAGTTTGTGGGAGGAAATAAAGAAATAATAAATATAGCACCTGAAATTACACTGCAGCATATAGTCCAAGGTTCCCAAAATAGAAATAGATGACAATAGCTTTCCTTTCAATTTTTAATAAGAATTTACCAAATTTTGCATATTTCTTTATGAATGAGTCAACTTAAAATTGACAGCTCTACCATTCCTGTTCTTAGGTCTTTTATGTATGCTTTGCTTCCCAGTTTAGCTCTGAGAATGTGATAGCCTAATTTGAAATTAAATTGGATATGACTTGGATATATAAAGTCTCTGACTTGTAGGTGACAGTTTCTACAAGATGACTGTTGATTCGGCAGTCTGTAGCACTTAATTTTAAAATTAAGGCAGATTTTGATAACCTCTCAGTTTTTGGTCTCACTATCATGGTTCAACATTTAACAGAAACCACAGTGGCTGACCCTCCCAGAAAGCTTATCGTAGCCATTGTATTCTGTGCCAGTTTTTGATAGCACACGGCATTGATTATTTTCCTCTCAGTAACACAGCAGAA